AAACTTTACACTTGGCACAATGCAGTCAGGCAAGTACCGTTCTCCTGGCAACTGCCAAACCCAGACACGTCCATTGGATTGCCAGACAGAGAAGCGTGATTGGTCACTCCAGAGAACACGTCTCCACTTCTCTAGAGTCCAGTGGTGGCGTGCTTCCACTTTGTTATAATACCACTAACAGATGACCGCGGAATATTTAGTAACAAGGAACTTCACAGAACACCTGAATCCAATGATTTGGAGGTGTGTCCCAATACTTTTGGTAATATTGTGTAGTTCTTTACTTGCCAAAGCAAAAGACCTTCGGACCAGTTGAGAGTATTTTCTCATCTTTTAGGTAACTAATCTCTGACACCATTTAACTTCTTAGTTGTGTGTAAGGGACATGGGACATCTTCCCATAGACCACCATGGGAGGGGGCCTTTCTCCACTGACCATCAATGTTAGGGGACATTCTTCCCACTGGCCGCTAGTGCAGGAGAACCCATATTCATTCTCCACTGACCACCAATGTACAGGGCACTTCTCCACTGACCCACCAATGTAAAAGGGACCACTGAGCACCACTGATCACCAATATAGGAAATTATTTCTCCATGCAACCACTGTAAAAGGGGTAAATTCTCTACTGACCACCAATGTAAGGGGACACTTTTCTTGCTGACCATCAATTTAAGTGGCCCTTCTCCACTGACTACAAATGTAATAGGGACATTTTTTCACTGACCACTATTGTAAGGGTGCACTTCTGAACTGACTACCAATGTATGGGGGCATTTCTCCTTTGACCACCAATGTAAAGGGAACTCAAAATTTGGCACTGTGTTTCTTTTCTTGCTATTAATTTTGGTAGCACATGTGTGCAGACGGTTGATTTTGATAATTTTGTCATGTGGAATGCTTCATGTAAGACATTTGATCTTTTTTTGTATATGTATTTGTTATGAAATAAACAATATGTTTTATCAGATATTTTTATAGTACAAATTGGTAGACATGTAAGCTGCATAAAATTTTGGTTCGGTTATTTCATTATTCAGGATTTTAATCTGAAATTTAATTTGGTCCGGGTATCGGATTTCCGACGAAATCTGCATACCGAGTACCGGAAGTCCCATTTAGGAAGCCAGGCGGCGTGTACAGACTCGCCACCTGGCTTCCTGATTAGCTGGGAAGCTGTCCCCATGCTTCTCGTCACAAGGTGACGAGAAAGCATGGTGCCGGCTTTCTGGCCAATCAGGAAACCTGCGCTGTGTAATGACGCGGCACCTGGCTTCCTAATTGGCAGGCATCCGGTTCCATGCTCCCTATTCATGAGGTGACGAGGGAGCATGAAGCTGGCTGCCCGACCAATCAGAAAGCCAGGCGCTGCGTCATTACACAGCGCCTGGCTTCCTGATTGGCCAGCTTCCGAACAATCAGGAAGCCGGGCAGTGTGTAATGACATGCTGCCCGGCTTCCCGCTTGGCCGGGAAGCCGGCTCCATGCTCTCTAGTCACAAGTACTCGCCCAAATACTCGGCATCAGCACCGATACTAGTATCGGTATCAGTGCATCCCTAATTATATGTATATACTCTATATGGCTCCCATGTTGCCATAACAAAAATTCGGAATCAGACCCATTCAGATGCATTACACCGAAAAACACATCTGATTGGCTGGAAATGTCACATGCTTGAATTAGGTTTCGTTTTTGAACAAAATTCGGATGGGATCCGAAATCTGTAAATGGAAATTCGGATTTGGACACATTCGGATGCATTGGGATTCGGAAATTCGGATGTATCCGAATTTCTGAAAATTCGTCCGAATTTTTATTCGGAACAAATCAAATCGCACCTGTCTACAAATTGGGCAGAGGAAGTAAATGGGGGATGGAAGACCCTGACCTTGACACACATCATGGAATATAACTATAAGGTCCCCAATGGAATGAGAACCAAGGAAATTATGAAAGATGCATCCAGTTGAGGCTTTAAGAAGTTTGCGATGTCCCTTATTAATTTTCCTTAGAACTTCATGAAAAGTACAAAAGAAACAGAAATGAGTAGGGAAAAAAATCCCATTATGTGGCTCTTTATGTTTCTAGGAGACTTTAAAAAAAAAAAAAAAATGTACGTCTCATAAGAAGAACCTGCAGCGCTGCCAGAGGTGTTCCTTGGATGACTGGTTCCTGATCTATGGCCAAACAGGCGTACTTCTACTGATTGGTGACAATTTATATACAGTGGCATGCGTTGATGACCTGCTTTATAAAGAATAACATTACATCAACTCTGGCTGATACATTTTATACAACCTGAGAGTCTCTTTAAGCATCTGAAGACACAGAATATCTGCATCTGAAGACACAGGAATGATATGACCAATTGATGTATGAATAGAGCGTATGTCCATAACAAGGGTAGGCAACCTTGATGGTTGATCTGCCTGAACAACATGGAAGAGATCAAAGATCACCAGGGTGCAGCATCCTTTTTTTACAATGTAAAAGTTACAAGAAAGGTAGCTAAGTGGGGCAAAGGGTTTTCAATAAATTTTATTGGGATATATAAATTTAAAAAAACAATACAGCAATTAACAGTGTATAGCAAGGTGCAAGTCATCACACTATCAGGAAGGTGAAAGAAAGAGCATATTAAAAGGGAACAGAGTATCCCAATAGAAGTACCATCATGGGCAAGGTTGCCCAAGGGCAAAAGAAGTGCGGGTAATACACTGCATAATACTGCTAAAAACAGGGGCACATATTAAACACAAGAGGGGACATGCTCCATCCCTGAGAGAATGATAGTGAGAAGGCTGTAGTGGGACAAAGTGTTATAGTGCGGAGGACGAGAGTACAAGGGAGAAGGCTTGACGTATTGCCGTTTCTTGAGACACAGTTAATCATGGTGAACCACCTGTAGCCGTCAATTTTACATATTATGTGAGAATGTTATAAGGGTACTTACCTGTGATGGGCGATGACCATCCAAAATTGACAAAGTGCCAAAGTTTATGGTGAAGGTAGGGCCGGATTTCCCACAAGGCCAACCAAGGCCCGGCCTCGGGGCAGCAGGGAGTAGAGGTGCAGCAGGGGTGTGGAATTCCTATCTCCCTACGCCCCGGACATGCCGTTCCGGGCGCGGGCGGGTAGTTGTATTCTACATTTAGCCCGGCTTTGGGCAATGGGCAAGCAGAGCTAGATGTACAGCAGGGAAGCCGCAGCTTGTTTTGTCACTGAGATCACTTGTATGCAGCCTGCAGGTCTGCCATTCTGGCGGGCGCATTGAGGAACTTGGTCTTGGGGCAGCAGAGAGTAAATCCGGCCCTGTGTGGAGGTATAGGTGTCTCATGTGGAACATCTGAGTTCAGAGCCTGTGCATATGAAAGCCCTTTGCTGGGACAGCGTGGCCTCCCTATGGGTAAAGAGGTTGGGTAAGCTGAGGAGCATTCCTTAGATTTTAAAAGGAAGAAGGAGTGAAGCTGATGTTTCTGTCTTCATAGATGGGGTGGAGGGAGAGCAGGTGCAGTGACGTATCCAGAATAAGGCACATGCACTGGGTACCACTTGAAGGGGGCGCCGATCCGTGAGTCAGAAAAAGTTATCTGACCCACAGACAGCTGACTTCTTCTCTCACCACCCTTTTCCCACACACATCTCCCCACCCTGCTCTGAGCAACCGGGGACACTTGGCTCGGGGTCCCATCCAGTGATGTCACTGGTTGCCAGGAGCTGGGAAAGACACCATAGGCGCAATTTTTTGTAGATACGGCTCTGAGCGGGTGTATGGTTCTTTAGGAACAGCGATCACAGGAGATCTGTCATAGACAGTTTATATACCCTCCTTGGTGGGTAATGTGCATCAGCGTCTTTATTTTGTAAGTAGCTAAAGAGGGTTGGGTTTCCCAAACAGCCCCCCTAAGCTTTTATAAGGGTGCCATGGAGATTTTTTTTTTTACTTATGTCATTTTGTGGCAGGGCACTTGTACAGCTCAGGATAGGAGGTCTGTACAGAGGGTAGTAAAAGCCTCACAAAAAGTTATAGGCATTAGTTTGCCCTGTATTGAGGGGCTCGGGATGAGGAGAAGTCGCTGGTATCATCGGGGACACCATTTTTCATGGTATGAGAGATAAAGGTAAGTGTGAGACATCTTCTGTATATAAGGAGATATATAAAGGAGATAAAAAACCAAACACAAAAAAAAAAGAACAAAAAAAAATAAAAGTCTCAGTTTAAATGCAGAAATAAATACTCAACAAGTTGCAGCACTTCTTTTTGCAAATAATATTGTTACATAATGACAACAAATGGAAACACAGCCCTTCCTCAGGACAAATGCAACATCCACTTTAATGATAAAGTATTACACATTTAAAATCGAAAACATACTGGAAGTGACATCAATTTCAAATGTTAATCCCTATTAAAGTGCAACTGAAGACAGAATTTGATGAGTGGAGAGGCATTAGAACCCGTTAGGTTTTTATTGCTGTCTGTCCCCATTAGGTAGATTCACACCCCCTCTATGTGTCCTGGTGAATGTTATCATTAAAAAGTAAAATAAAATCCCCACATTTTGAGTTGTCACCAGAACAGGAATAGATGGGAAATCTTCCAATTAGGAACCTAGTTCTGGTGACCCTGTTGACCACCAGGAATTTCTCTCACTTTGGAGGGATGTCCTCGCACTTCCTGTTGTGGCTATCAGACAGAAGGTGAAGGGAAATCTCCCCAATGGGATACAGATGGGTA